GGGTCCTCCGGAGGACCCGTCCTGCCGTTTTGGAGATATAAACAGCTTTTTATAAGGTAAAAATAATAAAACAAGGTCTTTGTCTGCAATGATTAGACATGTTTTTTATTATTGTCATTAGTGATTATCTCAATTTCAGCTAAAAGAATTGACAAAATCCTACACACTGTGCCTTTAAAGCTCTATCATGCAAGAAAGAAACCATATATGAGCCCCATCTAGAAACAACACCTTCCTCTTTGGATCAAAGCTCATTTAAAATGGACTGAGGCGAGGTGGAAAACTGTTCTTCAGTCATATAAACATGTCATCTGTACTAAACAGAACCATTCTTCCTCTCAAAAAGCCTGCTTCTCTGATGGTATGGGTGTGCATTAGTGCCTATGGCATGGGCTGCTTAAACATATGAAAGGGTGCTGTCAGTACTGACAAGTATACGCAGGTTTTAGAACACAAGCTTTTTTAGGGAATGATTTGGCGTCCTTAAAGGTGACCTATGGCTTATGATGGTCGAAGGTTCTGCTAGTGACCAATGTGGGTGCAACTCTTACCCCGGGTTTTACAGCACCTGGCATTTCCAGGTGGTCTCCCATCTGAGTATTTACCAGGCCTGACCCTGAGCTCAGACAGGCTCTGGTGTGTTCAGGGTGGTGTGGCTGCACTTTGTYAGGGAAGATTTCAGCAGGACAAGACTAAATCACATACTGCAGCTTTTCCAACAGCAGGGATGTGTAGAAGAGGAGTCCAGGGGCTAAACTGGTCTGCCTGCAGTCCAGACCTCTCACCAGGCCTTTTTATGCATCATGAAACAACAAATAAATAAATAAATCCATCAAAATCTCAAATCTGTAGAAACAGCCAGAATTTGACAAGATTGTTTCTAAAAATACCGGGATGCTTCAGAGAGGGAAACATGACCATTTCCAAAGTGTTTTGAGATGTTGCTGCAAATAAAGAGAAGGAATTCATTTACCTTATTTTTCTGTAAAATGTTTCGTTTAAACGTTTGATTACTCTGTTCCTTTATAAATGAAATATGGGTTTATGAGATTTACAAATCCCTGCATTCAGTTTACATTTTAACAACGTCCAAAGCAGTTTGGAATTGGAGCTGTAATTTATTTGCTTTCGGTAAGCAAATCTGTGAGCTTGTGTTTCATTTGCTTTGGAAGAAAAGAAGAAAATGTCGGGCATCACGAGAGACGGCTGCAGCTCCGTGACAAGTCTCCCTTCTCTTAAATTCAAGACCAACCGGAGTATAATGAACCAAAGGGACCAGTCTTTGTCTCTTTAGGCTTTTCCGTTAAATGTAAACGAATGTGCTCAAGAGAACACTTCATCTCAAATTTGTGTGATATTTGGATGCCATCAGTTACAAAAGCTACAATATTTGTGAATGTATGTACTTCCAGGATTAAGGTGCTCAGAATCTGTTAACAAATATTGTCAAAACAAAACAGCTGTTGAACCCGTTTGAAGCCACGCGCTGCTTCAGTTTGTTTAAATGTTGAAGGATCAAACAGGAAAAAAAATGCATTGAAAATAAAAAATGTGTTATGTGTATGCTGATATAACCACATCTTCTGCACTAAATAAAGCTTAACAGAAACAGTAAATATTATCTGTGTGACTAAAATGATCAGAAGTTTCAGATCCTGGAGGAAGCTTTTCTTACAGAGCTGTCTGTGACACTGGATAAAAAAAAATGTGTGACCACGAGATAATGCCTTTATTTTATTACCTTTTTTTTAAGCTCAACACTCAGAACAGGCTCTTCTCACACCGTGTCTTTACTGCAGAAAGAGTCGAAGTTATGTCACGTTCAGGAACACAAAAAAAAGTGTCTTGACACACACTTCAATGTCTTTCTGTAAATACTAGTATGATAAAAATCAAACCGTATGAACCATGGAGGTACCTTAAACAGTTAAACACAAAAACATATTCATTTAAATTCAGTGGATGTGCTCTGTAAATTTTCCAACATTTCCTGCTTGGTAAACTGAAGTAGTTTTTGTTTTTGTTAATGATGCCCACATCTGAGATTGTGTCTTTTAGCAACGTGTCACAAACCAAATTAATTTCTGCCTCTAAAAGTTTGCTTTAAATCTGACAGTTTTACACAGATCTAAATGTTTGATGGGGTAGTATCTGAGAATATATGTATAATATTACACATATTGCTATTTTTCACAATAAGAACTCAGTTTAAAAACTCTCTAACTCTATGAGGTCTTTATTTTCGTGACGAGGCTCTCAAGTTCATAACTGGGGAAAAAGCTACTAATTTTGGCTTTTTCTATGACTTGATGCAAGTTCTGTTGCAGAAACACAATTTAAATGTTAAGATTAAAGTTTAAAGACATACATTTTGTTTCAAACTTTGATGATCCTGATGTTGCAGATAAAAACAATCAGATATTCTGAGTGTAATCGGTGAGACCTGCTGGTGATGGTTCATCTCAGTCTACCACTAATCCCAGTCATTAATACGACAGAGGCAGCCCCCGTTAAACTTTCACACCACTCATTACCTGTGCGCACATCGTTAAAACAGTTTACTTAACAGCAGTATTCTGTACTGCACTGAATCTGCTGCCACACCTACTTTTACCTCAATAAGGTTGATTCACTGTTGGCCATCTTGAACTGGGTTGACTCCAAAAACTAATCAGACGTAGATACAGTGGGGAGACCAAGTATTTGATACACTGTTGATTTTTCAGGTTTTCCCACTTGCAAAGCTTGTAGATGACTGTAATTTTTATCRTAGGTACTCTTCAACTGTGAGTGATGGAATCTAAAACAAAAATCCAGAAAAATACAATTTATGATTTTTAAATAATTAATTTCCATTTTATTGTGTGAAATAAGTATTTGATACACCAGAAAAATGAAACTTAATWTTTGGTACAGAAACCTTTGTTTGCAATTACAGAGATCAGACRTTTCCTGTAGTTCTTGACCAGGTTTGCACACACTGCAGCAGGGATTTTGGCTCACTCCTCCATTCAGATCTCCTCCAGAGCCTTCAGGTTTCGGGGCTGTCGCTGGGCCACACGGACTTTAAGCTCCCTCCAAAGATTTTCTATTGGATTCAGGTCTGGAGACTGGCTAGGCCACTCCAGGACCKTAAGATGTTTCCTACGGAGCCACTCTTTAGTTGCCCTGGCTGTGTGTTTTGGGTCGTTATCATGCTGGAAGACTCAGCCACGACCCATCTTCAGTGCTCTTACTGAGGGAAGGAGGTTGTTGGCCAAAATCTCACGATACATGGCCCCATCCATCCTTCCCACAATATGGTGTAGTCGTCCTGTCCCCTTTGCAGAAAAGCATCCCCAAAGAATGATGTTTCCACCGCCATGCTTCACGGTTGGGATGGTGTTCTTGGGGTTGTACTCATCATTCTTCTTCCTCCAAACATGACGAGTGGAGTTTAAACCAAAAAGTTCTATTTTTGTCTCATCAGACCACATGACCTTCTCCCATTCCTCCTCTGGATCATTCAGATGGTCATTTGCAAACATCAGACGGGCTTTGACATGCGTTGGCTTGAGGAAGGGCACCTTGCGTGCACTGCAGGATTTTAATCCTTGACGGCGTAGAGTGTTACTGATTGTTTTCTTTGAGACTGTGGTCCCAGCTCTATTCAGGTCATTGACCAGGTCCTGCCGTGTAGTTCTGGGCTCATTCCTCACCTTCCTCAAGATCAATGATGCTCCACGAGGTGAGATCTTGCATGGCGCCCCAGACCGAGGGAGATTTTCCATTATTTTGTGTTTCTTCCATTTTCTAATAATTACACCAACTATTGTTGCCTTCTCACCAAGCTGCTTGCCTATTGTCCTGTAGCCCATCCCAGCCTTGTGCAGGTCTACAATTTTATCCCTGATGTCCTTACACAGCTCTCTGGTCTTGGGCATTGTGGAGATGCTGGAGTCTGATTGATTGAGTGTGTGGACAGGTGTCTTTTATACAGGTAACGAGTTCAAACAGGTGCAGTTAATACAGGTAATGAGTGGAGAACAGGAGGGCTTCTTAAAGAAGAACCAACATGTCTGTGAGAGCCAAAATTCTTAYTGGTTGATAGATGATCAAATACTTATTTCACACAATAAAATGGAAATTAATTCTTTAAAAATCATACATTGTATTTTTCTGGATTTTTGTTTTAGATTCCATCACTCACAGTTGAAGAGTACCTATGATAAAAATTACAGTCTTCTACAAGCTTTGCAAGTGGGAAAACCTGAAAAATCAACAGTGTATCAAATACTTGTTCTCCCCACTGTATGAAGTCCAGTGATTTTCTGAATATTTTAATAAATGCATTCACTGATTCATCTTGCCACAAGCACAGATAAATAAACACACAGGCATTAACACTATAGCTCTTTCCTAAACTGAAATTTAGAAGGAAATTTAAACAAAGACCGGTGCGTAAGAAAAAAAAAATCCAATTTTTCATCTTTTATTGCCCAAAACAAGTCAAAGTGTCACAACTGTTTACATTTACGTCCTCAGCATCATGAATACCAGCGATGTTTTAGTGGTTGTGTGGTGATGACGGTACAATGAGAATGCAAAAATGTGACATATTTTAGGACTAAATCACTTTCCACATTCAGGTTGAACAGTCTGAGTGGGAGAAGTGAACCCAGACCTCAGTCTGAGCAGCTCGTCGGTTCTTCTGTTTCTCTTTACCTTCTGACACAAACACATGAACGACTCGACCGTCTCACTGCAGCACTGTCCTGCTCACAACTTTGCCCTGTTTGTTAATAGCATAGTTGTAATTTTTAGGATTATCCAAAGCCGCCTCGATCCGTTGATCTACGTTTTCCAAGGTGATAAAGTTCTTGGCATCCTCCTGTAAAGCAGTGGAAACGGTCATAATTTTAACCACAWCATGTGCAACCTGCAATTTTGCTCACTACAAAAACAATAAAAGCTTTTAAGTGAAGAGGTGGAGAAATTCCCACCTGCAGCTGCAGAATCTCCTCCTCCTTTTGTTTGAGGAACTCCAGCTGTTCCTGTTCACGCTGAAGGAGAGCTTCCATCTTTTTGTGCTCAGCTTCCTCCGTTTCCTTCTGGAGTCTGGCCACTCTAAAACACAAACGGAGCGAAACAAATTGACTCTTAGCAGGAAATAAAGTTCCTCACTGAYGCGAGCACAAACATGTTAAAGAATGGAGTTCGTTATTAGTAAACTTTGAACTTAAAGTGCCTGCGACATGCATCTCCTTTAAATACAAGAAGTCAAAGAAAACATCTTTATATTTTGGAAACTTATACACAAGATTTTACCCATTTTGTTGGAACTGGCAGATTTTCTTTTGAACGTGRCTCAGCCGAAATGAAACAGGAAATGACATCAAAGGGGATTTATTTCAGAAAAGGAACTCCCTGGTTTTTGTTTATTGAAACAATATACGGTAACTTAAACTCTGACTCTTCATCGCTCTCTGATAGTGACTCAAGTTAATCTAAAGAAACAACAGATTCTTCTCTACAGTTTGTGTTGTTAGCCATTGTAACAATGCTTTGTTTACATTCAGATATCCCCCTTTGAC